CTAACCCTGGGAATAGCTGGGAGGGGGTAGGAGGCCTGTTACAGTGTGCCAGCTGCCTGGTGGTGGTGGTGATTGACAGCTTTTAGGGGTTGTGCAGGGCTGGGCTCTACTTTGCTTCATTATCTGGGCCATGTAAACACGAGCAGAATTTGTGATTAAAATAAATTGGCCACAGAGTTGCACCATACTCTCTACCACTGCTCTGGTTGGCAACACTGAAGTCCCAGCACCCTTGATGGATTCTCAGTGCCTCCTCACTCAGCTGGCTGGGGCTGGGCCAGTGTTCTGCAGCCATCTGCCCAGGCTGCAAAGCTCTTTGTTCCTTTTGGCATGTTTAATAGCTTAATTTCTATTTTTCTGTTTGGAAATGCAGTTCGCCAGCATTGAGGCAGCAGTGGGTACTAAAATGGTTTCTGATTGCTATCTTGAATGTTAATATCCTAATCCATTTTATCGTCTGTGACCTGTCCTCCCTGCCACCAGCGCCTGCTCCCCTTCTGTAAAGATAGGCGTGCTGCCTGCCTTTGGATAGGCCTCAAAGCTTGTCTCATTCCTTTGCTGTCCTCCTCCCTGCTTTTCACAGATAGCATTGTACTTTGCCAATAAAGCCCACAGCCGTGGGAAATCTTAGACTTGGAGGATATGAGAAAGTGTTTCATTTTGTCTGTGGGGTTTAATAGGGGTGATCTAATCTCTGAAAGGCATACACTATTTAAATTCCATACTTTTGGACAAGAGGGCCCCTGATATTTTTGAACTTTGGCAGGGACAGGATTCTGGTTTGGCTCTGTTCAGTCGAGCCAATTGTTGGTTTTCCTGTTTGTAATTCAGTGCAGGGTCCGGGTTATATTTGTGGCAGGGTTAGTATTAATGGTGAGGGTTGTGAAGAACGTTTTCTTTACCCAGAAACCTAAAATCCTGGACTCTTGGGGGTAAGAGGGATCAGTTTTTTATCCAGTGGAAGGACCAGTTTGTTCTTTGGTTCCCATCTGGATCTCAAGCTCCCCCCCGCCAAAAAAAAAAAAAAAAATCCAAACCACTTTCCAGTGAATCAACTCCAACTCATGGTGAACCTTTGTTTGTCAGAGCGAAACTGTTCTCCATAGGGTTGTCACTGGTTGATTTTTCAGAAGTAGATTGGTAGCCCTTTCTTCTGAGGCACATCTAGGTGGACTTAGACCACCAACCTTTTGGTTCATTGCCTGTTAGGTTTGGTTAGCTGCCTGTTAGGTTAACCATTGGTACCACCCAAGGACTATTTCAAATTTACGAAGCAGTAAAAGAAACCCTAGGTCTGCTCGGTGTGCAGCTCTGGGGAGCCTAAGGAACATTGCAGGCCCTGCTGACTGCATTATCTCACTCCTGCCCTGACAGAGAACCTGAAATAATGTCAGTGGCCACTCCTATGAGGCACTGAAGGCCCCTGCTGATGAAAATGATATTTTGAGGGAAGCCTTAAACACTTTTAACCACAAAGGACTGAGTCTGGCAATAAAGTGGGCCTCAGGAATGGCTCTGGGAGCCTGGACTGTGTGTAGAGTGAGATGTTGCCAGGGAGGGAAGTGGGAAAGGTCAGTTTCGGTCCTGTTTATTTGCCTCATAGGGAGTATGTGATGCGTGGGGTATAACCGCTTCTTCTCCCCCTTCCCCATCTCAGAAGTAGGCATGTGTTTGCCCTTTTTTCTTGGAGATGGTGGCTTGAAGGGGTGAACGATCCCAGAATAAGCTCTGAAAGTTCTGAATATAGAGTCTTTTTCCACTTCCAGAGATGCTGAGTGTTTACTGAGTAACAATGAGCTAAGCACTATCCTAAGTATTAAGTATTCCAAAGTATTAAGGAGCTCTGGTGGTGCAGTGGTTAAGGCATTTGGCTGCTAACCAAAAGGTTGGTGGTTTGAACCCATGAGCCACTCCACAGGAGAAAGATGAGTCTGCTTCCTTAAAGATTTATAGCATTAGAAAGTCTATGGGGCACTTCTGTTCTGTCCTGTAGGGTAGATATGAGTCAGAATTGACTTGACAGCAGCAGGTTTGGGTTTTGGTTTTTAATCACTATCCATTTGCCATTGAGTCAATTCCAACTCATGAGACCCCATATGTATCAGAGTAGAATGGTGTTCCATAGGTTTTTTTTTTTTTTTTAATTTTTATTGTGATTTAGGTGAAAGTTTACAGAGCAAATTAATTTTCCATACAGCAGTCTATACATATTTTATCTCATGACATTGACTGCAATTCCCCACAATGCAATAGCTCTCTTCCGACTTCTTCCCTGTAGTTAACCTCTTCCCTATGTCCATAAGGTTTCCAGTGGCTGATTTTTCAGAAGTTGACTATCAAGCCTTTTTTCTTAAGCACCTCTGAGTGGCCTCAAACTGCCAACCTTTCAGTTAGATACTGCTTACTTTAATCATTTTTGCCAACCAGGCACTCCAGCTAAGCACTAAGGATGCAAATATGGTTATCATATTCTCTGCCTAGCAGGGGTGATAGATAAATGGACAATGTCTTACAATTTAGTAGGAGCAACAATTAAGATATGTGTGGTAAACTGTGGTAACACAGATGAGGGAGCAGTTAATTCTGCCGAGCTATCTGGAACAGCTTCACAGAAGGGATGACAGTTGACATCGACCTTGGAGGAGGAGGAGATATACAACAGGCTGGTTCTTCCTAAATATTAATTGCCAAATGTGTGCCTGCTCTTTGTTGGAGATTCTGGAAAAAAAGAAAAAAAGGGGTGGTTCCTGCCCTCAAGAAACTCACAGCTTGTTGGGGAGCCAGGGCTGGCATTTCTGAGCCAATTAAATTTCTGCATAGACAGGTAGACTGTGGAGGTGGGGATATAGGCTGCAAGGGGTACTTTATGATCCAGGGTTTCTGAAGTTACTACTGTCTTTCATGGGAAGCAGTTTCTATAAGGATCATTCAGACCTTGTAAAGATGTCTTAACCAGAAGAGTAGAAGAGGACTAGCCTCTCTGACTTTTCTCTTCTCGTGGGATCTCATCAGCTTGGTTGTGTGTTGTTGTTGTTGTTGTTATGTGCCGTCGAGTCGGCCCCGACTCATAGCGACCCCTCCTTGGGTTTCTGAGGCAGTATCACTACGGAAGTAGGATTGCCCAACCTTCCTTCCGAGGAGTGGCTGGTGGGTTTGAACCGCCAGCCGTCTGGTTAGCAGGCAAGTGTCTTAGCCACTATGCTACCAGAGCTCCCTTGGTTGTGTGTAGTAGAAGTAATTAGCTGGGTTTGGAGCAGGTTAGAGTGCGTACCAAAGGGGCAAGGAGGCTGTATCTTCTGACCTCCTCTAACCGCACAAGAGGAGGACAGAATCACTATCAGCAGCCCAAGGCCTATTCTTGTGAGGCCAGACATGCTGCCTCCTTCCAGCCCTTTCACCAGCCCTGACACCAACCATCCCTCCCACATCACTCACTACCTTTCTGCTGGCCTTGACAATTCATTGCAGTGGCCATGCAGAACTCACAGATACCACTCACAGATTATGGGGTTTATTAGGGAAGCAACAGGCTACAACTCAAATTTAGGAATGCGCTCAGGATTCAGTTCCTCGGTCAGGACAGTCTCCCCTCTGCTGTGCCCTTAGACATGCCTCTGTGGCCTTTGGCCTTTCGGCCTGGCCTCTGCCTCTGTAGGCCAGGTAAGCCTGCCGCTCTGTTTCCAGCCTCTTGGTTCCACTGCTGCTGTGCCTCAGCCGTGGGTCTCTCTTTCAGTAACGGGTCAGTTTCTCAGCCACGGGGCTGGACTCTCAGCTACGTATTTCTCTCAGCCAGCAGTGAGAGCTATTCTTACTCTCTGCCTCTAGGAGGGCTCACTTTAAGCCCGGCAAAGGGGCAAAACCAACCAATCCCAACACCAGAATTCCACACACCTGAGAGAAAGCAACTTCCCAGAAAATTGCTCCCTGCTGCTCATAATAGAAATACCCCAGGTGGATAACTAACAATCAGGAGCTACTTAGTTGCTCATGGGAAATTCCACCACAGAGTTTACAAAGGCTGTGCTAGAAAAGTCATACTATGTAATTTACTACACTGCAAACATGTTGATAAAAGTAGCTGTTTTTTACTCTCTTTATAATTCTGGTGGAATCTGGGGTTTGCAAAACAAGTGTATGGCAACATGCAACCTGAGCATAGGGTTCCCCAATCCTGCACAAACACCTCACACACAGACACACTCAGACACACACACACACACACACACACAAATACTTTGCTTATACTGTTTCTTCCACTGGGAGTGCCTTCCCTTTCTTGTCTTCTGAAGTCTTCCCAGATTGCCCTTCTACGATGATTTCAGTGTCATCAGTTATTCTCTGTATCTCATCATTAATTTGGGTTCAGCATTGTTCCCTGTTTTTTTTTTTAATTAAATTCCCCAATAGGGTTGTAAGGACAGTGTCTTATGCTTATCTTCTTTCCCCTGGGAGATGGTTTGTAGGTTTCTTTCGACAATCTTGGCATAAAATCTCAGCTTTGCCACTCACCGTGCAACTTTGAATACAGTATCATATCCATAAAATGGCATAACACAGGGCTTCTCAACATTAGCCCTATCAATATATTGAACTGGATAATTCTTTGTCTGAAAGTGGATGGGTGGGTGGGAAGTGCCCTATGCATTGTAGCATATTTAGCAGCACCCCTGACTCTACTAATTAGATGCCTGTAGCAACACCATCCTCCAGTCTTGACAATCAAAAATGTCACCACACATTACCAAGTGTTCCCTGGGAAGCCAAATCACCTCTTGATTGGTTATGTAGAGACTTCCTTTTTATAGCAAGGACACAAAGTGGGCATTCCATAAATGCAGATCCTCCTTCCTTTTAAATTCACCTAGCACTTGACACATTTTAAGTTGATGAATGGAATGGAGCTGTGACTCTGAGGTTCAGCAGTTTGGGGTGGAAATGTGAAAATCTCAGGCTGCCCACACAATGCACTAACGGAGTCACTGTCATGTTCTTAATTGCAGATTGATCTGGAGCCAGAAGGAAGAGTGTATGTGATCATTGATCTCTCGGGGTCGTCAGGTGAAGGTAGGAGAGTGCGAACAAGTGATCTTGCATCCTTGTTCTCTTGTGTTGACTTTCTGTTGTCTTTTGGGTCACTCCTTCCCCTCTTTGGCTAGGAAACATTATGGTAACATTTAATTAATTGGCACAGTTTAAAGAAGGAGGCTATTTTGAAGATGCTTATGCCAGTGTACTAAAAGGGACCAGCCATCTGTTAACTTTGGTGAAGTAGAGGAAAGATTTTGATTTACTAGGTGAGGCCAATAAAATAGATGTTTCTTGCAGGCAGGTGCACAAAGTGGGCTTTGGTGAAGTGACAATGTCTATGTGTGTTGGGAAGGAAGTAAAACCACCTGGTTTAACGGTATTCAGAAATGAAACAAATAAGGTATCAAATATCAGAATCTATTTCTCTAGAGCTTTAATAGAAGTGTAGCTTATTGCTCCATTTCCCCACCCAGGTGAAAGCCCTGCTCTTAAGGAAAAATCATGGGGAGAGGGACCTTCGGCTCCTCAGGGGCTGATTACCTGAAGCATAGATTTTCTGATAGTCAGATTTTGCTTTTCTTTTCTTTTTATACCCTCTTCTTTAGATTCTTTCTTTGTTCACTAAATACCTTTTAAGGGTTCGCTGGATAGTGAGGACTGAGAAGTCAGAGAAGAAGGGAAGGACAGAAAATTTAACTTGTCCCAACAGGAACAAGAAATGGTGGTAGACTTGGACCCTAGGAAGTCTGAAATTAAGATGGAAATTTAATAATGATGAGGACCATCTTTCCCCTCTTCCTTCTCTCTCTCTAAGCTGTGGCATGGAAGAGTTGGCTTTAATGTCACAGCAGAGAGAATCTTGGCAGGATGAGGAGAGGAGCTGGAGAATAAGTAGCCATCACATTTGTTGCCTGCTCCACATGTGAAGGATCTAGTGTGAGGCACATCCAACACAGATGCACTGTTGGAATTGCAGACGGTGGACATTCACAGATTCAAGAAAATAACATGACTTGTGGGCTGTGCCCTAGGGGGGAAAGCACTTGGCTCCCTTTGCTCTTTTGGCTGGGAGACTTGAGCATTTCACAACCACGGAAAAACAAACTTACTGCCATTGAGTTGATTCCGACTCATAGCAACCCTATGAGACAGAGTAGAACTGCCCCTTACGGTTTCCAAGACTGTAAATCCTTATAGAAGCAGGCTGCCTCATCTTTCTCCCATGGGGTGTCTGATGGGTATGAACAGCCAGTCTTTTGGTTAGCAGCCCAATGCTTTAACCACTGCGCCACTAGAGCTCCTTAGCGAAGTCTAACTAAAAAACAAAACAAAACAAAACTTACTGCCATCTTGTCGATTCCGACTCATAGCTACCCTCATTAGTTTTCCTAGGTGGTAAAGTAGATTGTCCCATCTTCCTTCCGCAGTGCGGCTTATGGGTTTGAACTACCAACTTTCTGGTTAGCAGTCAAATGCCTTACACACTATATCACCAGAGCTCTTTTAGCAAAATCTAAGAAGCTAGTCAAATGATGCCATATGAAAGTGACATCTATTGAGTTTTGTTTGGCTGACTTATCACCCAATTTTAATAGGTGAATTCAATAATTGTGTTTCTGTTCATATGGAGATGATAATGGAAATCAGTCTTCTTTTAATAAATCTCAATTATTTAAAATGGTTCAAAACTATTAGTACCTTTCCAAGATTGGTCTTTTACATTTTCTGCTCTTCATTACAATTTACCCTTTGGCTTTTCTAACTTTCCTCCTCTGCCCTGAGCACTGAACAGCCTAGAAGAGAATCTGTTACAGAAGATTTGACAGTTTAATAACACAAAATAATTAAGACCTGCAAAAAGGTCTAGAGAGTAATGAAATGGCAACCAGTGTAGCTACAACTTGGGTTAAGAAATAATGCTGCCAACAAGGTGAAGCCTTGCAGTTGCTTTCAACATGACATCTGATCCCAAATTCACCAGACTTAATGTGCTACAGTGACCTTCTAATTGTAGACACTGGTGAAAAATTTGATGGGCAAAGTCAATCCTCTTTTTCCCTTACATAATCTATGTGTGATAAGATAATATATTAAATATGTATTTCCTGTGCCAGGAAACAGAGTCACCAGTGGGACACTTGTATTATTTTTTTCTTTGTGAAGATTAATGACTTGCAAAATTGTAGAAGACATCTTCCTTTTACATTAGTGGGACCAGAGATGAACAAATGAATGGATAAATAAATCAGAAGCGATTAATTTTTTTCTTCTTGTTTCTCCAGCTTATTACATGTGAATGGCCAAAGCAATTTTCATTAGTCTAAACTCTTAGTCTACTTTTTTTTTAAAAAAATCTCTTTCATCTAAAGAAAACAGAGTTTACTTCAGAAATGCTGACACACGCCAGAATCTGTAAAGTGCTAGCATGTGTTGCTCTGAAGAAGAGAAGAAAAATTTCTACTCTTTTTTTTCTTGCTGTTCTTGGACTTGGGATCCTTTCTTTGGAAGGTAGGAAGGACTTTCAGTAACCCCTTCTTAGATGCTGATCTTGGGTTCTACCCATCTGCTCTCCCCACCTGGCTGCTGGGACTGTGAATGCTCCTGGGCTGGAGGTGGTCTTGTTTTTGGAAGGGTGCAAAGGTTTGGCAGGGTGAAGACAGGAGCTGCAGAATGAGTATCCACAACGTTTGACCTCTAGTCCATGTGGGAAGGGTCTAATGTGAAATACGGCCATCACAGATACCCTGTTGGGTGTATAGGACTGCACAGTCACAGATTCTTGTCTAAGCCCTTGTCTTTAGTGAAAAACTCCTAACTCTGTAGTCTGTGAAGGGGTGAGAAGAGAATTGAAATGAGGCATAACTGAAGTTTTCATCACTCAGTATTATTCTGCTATCCAGCATCCCTTTACCTATTTTAAACTCTGTATTTCTGTCGATGGATAAAAATATATGATAGAAAGTGCAGAAACTTTATAACATATGCAAGTAACAACAATTTCAGGAAAAAGTGTGGGGGTGAGACTGTGTGAATGACACCCCCTTCTTCTAGTGTGTGCATTAACAAAAAAGTTGTTCTCTTGCTGACTCACTGTAGAAAGCCTGATTGTTTCCGTCTGCTCAAGCTTGAGCTAATGTGATTTCTAACTGTCTAATAAAATTCCACTGCATCTATGTCCTGTGCAGTTCCCCATGATGGGTTTTGACCAGTGTGTGCTTTAGCTAAACCAGCAACCTAACCTCAAATGTTAGAGGTCAGGCTGGATGTCAGCTAAGGTCACTTCTAGTCATGTTACTTTATCCTTTGGTGTAATTTAAATAGATGTCTGTCAGACTTCAAGGCCAAGGACTGGCTATTGTCTATAGCAGGTAGAAGGGATTGGAGGAAAGGGACTCATATGTGGTAAGTACTTTGCCTACATTATCCCAAGTAGCAAACCCATTCAGAATGTCAGTGTGTGAGCCTCCAGTCTCAGATGCGTCTTCATCTTTTGCTTTTATCATAAGTAATAACCACATGGCTTCCTGGTAAGTAGGGGCCTAAGGACTCACCAGATACTTAAATCAGTATACAGTAAAGAAGCGTAACAGGAATGTAATTCTCAAATGTGTGAACTCATTTCCTGCTGTGCACATTAGTTAGTATTTCTTCGTTTGTTATGATGTCTTTTATCTTTTGTTTCTTATTCTTCATGATAATATGGCCAAAACAAACAAACAAAAACCAAACTCACTGCAGTCAAGTCAGTTTGACACAAGGGACCCCTCCTTGGGTTTCTGAGGTGGTATCCCTACAGAAAATTGCCCAATCTTCCTTCCGAGGAGTGCCTGGCCGGTTTGAACTGCCAGCCTTTTGGTTAGCAGTCAAATGACTAAGGCACTATGCCATCAGCGTTATTCACAGGTTCTCAGATGAGAGAGGGTAGGGTCTGGCCCAAGGATTTCTAGGCTCTTCTTCCCCTGCCTTCCAACCAGGTATAAGTGTTCACAGAGGATTCTTGAAACGGAAGATTCTTTTCTGTTTCAACCAATGGAAATAACAAGAATTAGACCACATTGGTATGTTTGCATCACCATTTCTGCAATAAAATACAAAAGATACAAAATAACGTGAATGCCTTTTGCAACACACAATCACAAATAAGGCAGTTATGTCACATTATGGAGTGAGTTTTGGAGTGATTGTGGGTTGTGGAAGATAAGGAGCAGATCCCCACTCTCTGGCGAAAAGAGTGGTGGTCTTTCTGCAGCCCCTGCTTCCCTAGTAGCAATAGCATCCAGCTTCCCCTCTAGCCTTGCAGCAGATAGAGTAGAAAAAACATGACCGTCAGAGTTCGTCAGACCTGGATTTAAATCCTGGCTCTAGTGCTCACTACTTTAGAGCTTCTGATTTCTTACCCATAAAATGGAGGTAATATGCCTATGAGACAAGGTTGCTCTAAGGATAGTGCCTTGGTACAGGGCCCTCGAATGTAGGAGATGATCAACAAGTCCTCTAAGGTTCTGGAGATCTGAGGTTGGGGGTGGACCTAGTTCTATCCAGTGCCCAGGAAGGAGCAGCAGGAATGGTATACAGGGAACAGATTGGGGCCAGATTTCTGACTCTGGGGTGTTGCATGTTCAAAAGAGCCAAGAACAGAGCAAAGTTAGAAAGAGGCAATTTATAGAATAATAAACAGACAGGAACTATGAGATTGCTTCCTGCCGAGTTCAGACCCTACCACAGCTCAACACTGTCCCTTCTCTTTTTCTTCCCCACATGAAGTAATTCCCAGATGGAATTACTGGCCTGACTGAGTTGCTCGTTTTTGTCTTATGGCCTAAAAACCAGAAAATTCTCCTTGTCAGAGTCTGAGCTTGTCTCATCCCTGCTCAACACAGACCGTGTGCTTACCTGCCCCTGGGCAAGAGCCCTTCATTTGTTTGAAGACAGTTACTAAATCTCTCTTCTTCATACTCACCACATCTCATTCCTTAAACTTTCTGGTAGGATATTTTAGAAATCTCAACTCATCTTAGCAGCAATCTTCTGAACAT